GGCAAATGCAGTTACCAACATGCTTTGAGGGAAGGAGAGGGCAGTGCACAGAAAACTCCATGCAAGTGAGACCAAGCATCAGGCTGATATCGGGGTGGGGGGGAGTTGTGGCTCTTCCTGGATCCCTGGACTCTGGAGGTGGGAGGGAGCAGGTGTCCAATCTGGGGGGCATGGCTGAACTCAGGTGGGGAGGAGATGCAGATGTCTGGACTCTGCAGGGATTGGGTTATCATAGCATTTCTTTAACTCTCTGGGCATTTTTTGTCCAGTATTTTGAAGTAAATTAGCAAAATTGAAATTGGCATGACTCTGTAATTTGTAGAAGTTTTAATTTTTTGACACCGAATGCTTTTGGAAATAATTTGACACTTGAAAAATAAATCAATTGAGATACTGTATAGCCTCCTATTTCTATGATTAAGAAACTTTCTGTATGGCTTTCTGAATAATATGCTTTCTCAGCTGATGGAACATAGTTTTATTCCCCACATCACTCTGATAAAATGTCAGGGATGATCTCATGTACACAGTAAACTTTTGGGTTATGCAGATGGTCTCTTTAAAGCTATCACAATGATCTAAAATGAATTCCTAGACTAGCTTCTTGTGAAACGCCCCTTAAAACATACTTCATTATAAAGCCATCTAAGGAACTAACATTTGTGTGTTCTGTTCTAGTTCACTATAATGGAAATGCTTATAAACTAGCATATGCCTAGGTTGGCTTCAAAAGGTTGAGGAGGGGGGTTCCTTTCAGCCTAAGAAACAAGTGTAAAGATCTATAATTTTGTTCACTGTGTGTGTGGTGGTTTGTTTTTTCCAAACTTTGTTTAGAAAAGATTTGCAGCCAGCAATACTAGTTTCTCTATAAATTAGTACATGTCTTCTGCGGTTCTCTCTTATGGTAAAAGACATGTCTGGAGTTGTGTGGGTGAACATTCAAATGAGGCATTTGTTACCTTGTGACTTTAAATGTAACTCCAATGTTTACGTTGTAGAAGACGTATTTTAAAAATGCCATTAGTCATAATGAGGAAAAAAATTGCTACATGGGAATAAGTTTTCTGCTAGAACAACTGCACTCTCCCTTGGGAATTCTCTGCTTTTGAATAGTTACATGAGATGACACTCAACACAAAAACATCTCAAAGTCTGAGAAATCCTGAAAGCAGCTTGTCTGGTAAGGGTATACAAACTGAGTGAATAATTATCCCCCACCCCCAGTTCAGGGACTGAACCAGAAATTCCTCTAGAAGAAATGTATGCACTTTGAACTAAAATTGACTCCCCGTTTTTTCCTCACCAAAAAGGAAAATACTACCTCCCTTCACCCACTTTGGGCAAAACAAAAATGATTGGTTTAATTGAAACTGTTTTCATATAGGTGTTTGAACACTGGAAATCTACTCTTTTTTTATTTTGAGATTTAGCTACATTTCTAAATGAAACACCTTGTCAAAGTGAAATGCTTGAAACACTTTCAAAGAGTTGAAATAAGAACATTTTGACTTTCAAATTTGTTCTGCCAAAATATCTATAGGATTTGGCAAATTCATGAATAGTTGTGATGCCTTGAAAAATGCATTGTTAGCAAATTTACTATTTCTTAGGGGGAAGCCCCGCCCTGCCCA